GTTTCCTTCATTTTACCCAGAATTAGAGATTCTATGTCCCTTAGCTAAAACTTGTTTACTGATAAATATTAGATTTTGAAATAGCCTTCACAGGGATTCTCTTATTATTAAAAATTTATAAACTAGGGCTGGGAATGTGGCTCAAGATGTAGCGTGCTCGCCTGGCATGCGCCGGGCCCTGGGTTCAATCCTCAGCACAACATAAAAATAAAATAAAGATGTTGTGTCCACTGAAAACTAAAAAATAAATATTTAAAAATTCTCTCTTTCTCTCTTTAAAAAAATTTATAAACTAGGTAAGAGTTTGATGATTAAAATAATTCTGATTTCTGAATAAATGTTATTTCCTTTTCTGTAAAATAGTATAATTAATAGCTCATTGTGTCCTTCAAAGGTATGATTGTCACATTTTGAAGGTTGTACCAATCCAAAAGCTACTCAAATTTTGTCAGTAAATTAGAGAAGGGAAAAGGAAAAAAATATGGATGAGGTCAGCAGGACTCTGGCAAGTGATTTGGTAGCAGGGTTGACCCCACATGGGAATGGCCATCTATAGTTCATGCCCTCGTGTTAATGGCCAGGTTTTTCACTGGGCAGATGGTAGCCAAGGGCATCTGTCAACCATGGCAGAAACGAAGCAAGTAATCGCAGTGTCATGGTTACAGGAGGTTTATCTGGCTGTGTCAGTCAGCCTTTCATCACTGTGACTAAAAAACCTGACAGAAACAACTGGGAGGAGGTAAGTTTTGTTTTGGCTCACAGTTTCAGACATCTCAGTTCATGGTCATCTGCCTCCATTGTTTTGAGCCTGAGGTGAGGCAGAACATGATGTCAGAGGGCCTGGTGAGAGTTTCTCAGCTCATGACTGCCAGGAAGCAGAGAGGAAAGGATTAGGGCCAAGATAAATTCTTTCAAGGTGCATCCCAATGAACTATTTTCTCCAACTGGGTCTCATCTCTCAGTAGTTCATGGAGCCCTCAGTGGAGTTTTCCATTGGTGAGGTCAGAGCCCTCATGATCCAATCACTCCCCAAAAGCCCACCTCAGAACACATGAGACATTGGGAGACATTCTAGATGCAAACCATAACTTCAGTTTAGAACAAGACTTTACAGGGTACAATATGAAGTTTCTGGGAAGGAGAACTGATAACCACCAGGTGGAAGTTCCAAGCCTTGAGCAGTCTGTATGAATATGGAGCTACACATGGAATTGGGAAACTGGGATAAATTCAGTCCTGTGGACTGGTGAAGTGCCACTGTGGAGAAGAAATACTGACAAATGGTGACGCAAAGCAACACCAGCCTTGGGGCAGTAAACCTAGTTTTAGCTTATCCCCTGCTGTTACAACCAGGGAATCCAATAGTCAGAGTGATTCCGAGATAAAGAGGTCCTGAAGTTTATCAAGCTAGAGAATGCAGACCTTAGAAAATTCTACATATAGGGACAGATATTACAGTGCTGAGCACATGTTAATAAATCTTTGTTAACTTTTTTTTCTTGATTGTACAGAACTAAATACATATTTGCTACATGATCTAGGCATCTAAGTTGATATATTAGAAAATAATGTCATTAAATGTGAGAGAAGTACTAATACATAAGGTGGGACATATAGAAATGTTCATACAGTATATAAAATGAATAACACAGAAAAACCTAGCTGTGAATTCATTATATGTAGATTCCAGATATCTGAAGAGCAAGATCTGATGGGGCCCAAAACAATAATCTAAAGCTCAGCTATAGTTCAGATACAGGGAGCTGTTGCATGATTAGGCAGGTTCCTTTGTTTTCTGACAGTTTTTCCATTTTTGACCCAACACCTCCTTACCCTAAGAAACAAGAACCAAAATCGTATTACTGTTTACAATAATAAAATTCCAAGGTTGAATGCAAGATGATTTTTAAATGAACCAGTGTTCTCCAAGGAGTTTCAGAGCAGCCAACCGCCTCTTGCTAACCTTGGTACCTTAAGTCTGTCAAAACTAGCCCCTTCAATCACATTTCTTTTCATTGTGCTTTGTTTTAAGTCATCACAGGGAAGGACTCATCCTAGATTTGTCTTTGCACATAGGTTACCTTTGGATTAGCTTTACCTTGGTGACCTCTCTGCTGCCTCTGGCGTAGTCCAGTTACTCTTGGGAATATCAATTAAGGTCCTCAATCACACTAATTAGAATGTCTTCTAAGTATTGCTTTAGGAGTTCAGCAGCTTATAAACAAGCAAATTGGGAAAATCTAGAGGTGTGCCTGGGTTTTTAAAATAAGCCAAAGCAGTTCAGAAGGCCAGATGGTTTCAGTATAGCCAAGTAGTAGGGCTGAAATTACTTGTGCTCAGAATCTCCAATGAACCGTCTAGTTGCTCTTGCTGACAAGGATTAATGCAGAATTATTAATTACTTTTATTAATGACTTGGATAAGGACATAGGTAGCATGCTGATCGAGTTTGTAGATGACACAAAGCTAAGAGGATAGCAATTACTGTGACAGCCTCAGGACCCAAGATGATTTCAAGACAGAATTTAGTCGCAATCCATCCAATACATGCCTAACAGAGTGACCTCCATAAGGCACAACTTGATGACTATATCACTCCTCTAATCAGAAAATATTAATGATTCCCTATTTTCTATTTAAGTTAAATCCCAAGTCTTCAGTCTTCTCTTCATGGCATTGCAATGTTCTGATTCTAAAGCTCTCTCCTTTCCAGAAAATTCTTCTATAGTTCTTTTTCTAATACCTTGTACTTGAGCCAAACTGGGCTGTTTATAGTCTATTTCCTATATTTGTCTCATATTTTCATTAACTTTGAAGATTATCTCCACCAAGAGTTTCTTTTTTACCATACTTTCTCTCTCAATTATAACCAGCCAAACCAATTCTTGTTCAGTCAGAAAGAATCTCTTGTATTCAGTCTGTGCCTGCTTCAGCTGCAGTCATCACTTTCCTTGCTAATCTTCAATAACACTTATTGTATCCTCTCAATTTTTACCAATTTCTACTGTGTAGTGCAGTTACTTGTATACAGTTTAAGTCCTTGCTAGACTCTGCCTAGTGCTGTAACTTCTGTCTGAAATGTCTCTGCCTTTCCTAAATGCCTGTGTGTGTTTTATACACAGTTGATGACACTGAAGTGGTTTGAATGGAGTTTATTCTGAAGAGAAGTGCCTTTAGAAAAGGCTCTATATCTTGCTTGCTAGAGGCCCCTGCAGTTAGTTTATAGTAAATTGTAAACAGAAAATGCTCCTTAATGTTTTTTTTTTTTTTTTTTAGAAGTGCCTTGTGTAGGTTAGGAAGGTGCTTTACCAGTGAGCTACACCCCTAGCCCTTGATACATGTTTATTGAATAAATCACGAACTAATGGGGAACAGTAGATTTCCACAAAGTGATGGTGTAAATATTGGAAAGGAGTGGGTTGGAGAAGAAAGATACATTTAATCTCAGTAAAAGAGCTGCTTGTGTTATAATAAACCCTTTGTAATTTTTGTATGACTAGGATAGAGAAGGAAGCATGATATGACCCACAGATTGTTGCTGATGTGTGACTAAGACAGGTGACATGGGTTGGAACCTTACATTGTCCTTTAGGATTACCAAACCTTAGACTGCTTGGCAGTACCAGTTTATACCTTATCTTTCTAGGTAATATTCTTAAAAGTGGCACATTTAATTGATGGTCTAGATCATGCTATTTATTGAATACCTCTTTGGCTGTATTAGGATGGTAGGTCCCTTTGGTTGTGAAACTTGGAGTATAGACTTTTTTTGTTGTTGTTACTGATAATTAAAGCCAGGGACACTGTACCACTGAGCTATATCCCTACATTCCTAGACCTTTTTATTTTTTTTTCTCTGAGACAGGGTCTTGCTAAGTTGCTGAGGCTGGGCTTGAACTTTTGATCCTCCTGCCCCAGCCTCCTGTGTAGCTGGGATTACAGACTTGTGTACCATGCCCAACTGCATCATAGGTTCTTTGAGATAATAGCTGTCAGCCTGATGCGGGTATAAATTCCCTTTCTGTCACTCTCCAGAAACATGATCTGGACAAGTTACCAAGACCTCTGTAAGCATCTTTATATGGCTGTTTTCTTCAAAACAGATAGCAGAGGTCTTGAGCAGGGAATTTCTGAGTCATCTCCAGGTTTCAGTGTTTGTAAACCTACAGAGGATTTACCAGTGGTTGGACATATCTAGGGTAGGAAGAAAATAAATTCCTTTCAGAGTTGTTAAATCTCTAGGTCTTCTGCATTAAAGATCACACAACCAAATGCAAGGGCAGGGTTTCTGCATGTTGGCAGCTTCAGCTGGTTATCAGTAGGAAGGCTAGAGATCACAGAAATTGGACTCCTGCTTCATCAACTGTCTCTTCAGGTGAGAAGAGTAAGAGCAGCAGGGCAGAGAGTTTGTATATTTCCCCTTAATATAAATTCAGATTGTGGTGGACAACAGACTAAGTCTGCATCCAGGACTTCTAGATTTTCCGTTTATCACTGAGAAGGAAAAGTACCTGGTTCCTAAAATATTCTCCACTGGAATGGACCAAAGGACCTCAGAAAAGGGTAAAATTTCTCTGCCAGAAATGTGACTCCTGGTCAAACATCCAGATGAATATATTATTAT